GGGGGAGGGAGAAGGGACGAGGGACCCCGAGGCTCTTTCCTTCCTCCAGCTTTGCATCCGCAGAGCCCCTCGTTGCGCCACTCCTGGCCTGCTCTGCGCATGCGCGGGCGTAGGGTTAGCACCTCAGAACCCCGATTCTCTCCTAATCCCGGCCCGCTCTGGGCATGCGCAAAGACGATATCCCCCGCGCCCAAGGAAATAATCAGCCTAGGGGGGATGGGGGCTCTAGCCCAGGAAGGCCTGTGCAGAGAGAGAGAATAGAGAAAGAGGAAAAAAAAAGACAACCCAAAAATTGAGCGATACCTGCCTCCGCCCACGGATCCCTGTGAAACCGCCTCTGCTTGACTCCAGGCAGCTCTTTAACTGGCCCGGCCCCCACGCTCCGCCGCTACCCAATCATCGAGCGCCGCCTCACCCGCCTGACCAATCGCGTGGCGACCGCTCTCGAACAGCCCAATCGGCGCAGGGCTCGCTTCACAAATTCGAACGAGTAACCCCCCTCACGGAAGAGTGGGCGGGACGTATTTGAAACATCGCAGCGGGCCGGGCAGGGACGGAAATAGCTCCTGAGGTGTAACTGCGCATGCGCCGGGGAGAGGTGGGATTTTTGGGGGGAGGAGAGTTGATTTGTTTTGGGTTTTTTTTAGTTTTGTTGTTTTATATAAAAATTAATGATATTTTATCTTTTCCTCCTAACAAGGAAATATATTATATTTTTATAGAAAAATATAATATGTATTATATAAATAAATATATACAATTGAATATATGTTTTATGTATTTCGCTGTTAAGAGGGGCTTCCGCTTCCGGGTTTCTGCTTCCGGGTGGCGGGTTAGGCGCGCGCTGTCTGTCACCATGGCGAGTAATGCGGCCAACTTGAACGCTGTGCGGGAGACCATGGACGGTGAGTTGGGCGCGGGCGCTCGCTGCGGCGCCAGTTGGATCCGCTCGTATTTGGCGCCCGAAGCGTCGGGAGCTGGGCCGGCCTCAGCAGGGGTTTGCGGCAGCAGGAGGAGCAGCTCTGTTCCTTCCCCCGAGGAAACGAGTGCCGCCCTGGTTTCCCCCCGCGCTCTCCCTCCCCACGCGGCGGGCCTGCAGACTTTCCTCCCGCGCTTGATTTGTGCGAAGGAAACACGAGCACGGGCCACGACGAGAACAGCCCCGCCGTTAGATGCCCAGGAGCAGTTAAGTGTTCAGCGACAGATTTCCAAAACACTGATGGGGTAGGAGGGAAGGGCAGAGGCCAGTAACGAGTTCTCCAAGGGGCCCCTTGGCCCCCGTGTGATCCCATGGAGTGAGCCCGCAGCACTGCCCAGAGGCTGGCGTGGATGAAACAAGCCTATTGGACACCCACGGTGGTGTCCTAGGCGTTGGGTCCTGGAGCAAGGGTTAGCCACTGCTAACGCAAGAGTGGGTATTAGGTAGGTACCAGCTAATTACAAAGCGGGAATGGAAGTGAAGGTCAGAGGGTCATAGCTAGGGATCCTGGTTTTCTCTGATTTAAAAAAGTATAAAATCTAATTTTCAGATTAAAGTAGTAACTCAAAATCCACGTGTTTCTGTGGTTAAAATGAAAAGCCACTAATATATAGATATGTATCTGTAGCTTGACCAAATCCAGTAGATATTAGTGGCGCTTCATTTTAATCGTGGAAAAATGTGGATTTTGGGTTACTTTTTTCTTAAACTGAAAATTGAGAATTTTTTCTATCGGAGAAAACCAGGATCTCTGTTCACAACAAATGCACCAAGAGGGGGCTGTGAGCACTGGACAGTGCCCACTGGCCCTTGAACAAGGTGGATGAGAGGCAGGAAGATGACCTCGCAATCACTGGGGGTCCTCTGGGCCAGAACCTCCTTCCTGGTCAGGCAGATGGATGCTGGGTAAGATGGAAGTATGTAATTGACCCAGTAGCTGACAGTTCTTATGAAGTGCTGTGACTCCATCACCAGGAGGCAGGAATGAGCCCACTATATCTGGACCTTTTTCTTCGGGGTCCAAATGGTGAGGGACTTGTGGCTAGGGGCATTTGCCTTTTCTGCTTTCCCTTCTGTAAACCCAAGTGCAGTGGTGCAAAGTCTGCCATGGGCTTGCCTCACTTGGGGTGGTCTGGGGGAAGGGAGGAGGGAAAAGTGCTTAGATTTGCACTTTTGACTTCCTAGGGCCTGGGGAGGCATAATGAGGGGCCACAGTGGAGTAGGGAGTGCAGATTCAGCTGGTTGTTGGATAGCTTTGGTTGAACGAGCAGTGCAAAGGAGCTCAGTGATGAAAATGCCAACACAAGGGGAGACAGGCCAGGGGTAATAGAGTTTGGGAGAAAGAGGTTGATGCAATGAGGAGTTAATGGAGGACTGACCAAACTGGTGTCATGGAACATTTTGTATCCACATCTAATATCACAGTGAACTGGTTCAAAAGGTACCTGGAAAATCAAGCACCACTTTTGACCTGTTCCAGGCAGCCTTATACTGTTATAAGAGGACTGTACATCTGTCTGTCTCAGATTCAAACTACATTTACACTAATCTGAGCATTCCTGGAGTCCAGACCCTGAATTTTTCTGTTCATTGTTCTGTTAAACAATGTAAATAAACTCTTTCCACTGTGTAATCAAGGTAGTGATTTTCTGTAGCTTGATCAAATCAAGTATGCTGGGTGAGCTCAAGATATTGTCTCTTCATAACTATCTTGTTTTTCAGAATCAGGTCCTATTTTGTTTTTTGCAGCGCAACTTTATTGTGCCCATTTCAGTTAGTTACAAGTTGATTTTTTTTCTTTTATTTTTGTGACCAGGCACAAATGGGCAGAATGAGGTTCACCCTTCAGTACCCAGTCTTTGTCTAGAGAGTTCTTCTAATCTCTAGACATAGTGAAATAGTGGGATAATTAGATACAATAATAATGGAACCTGAAGGTACGTTAAAAAAATTCTGAGTAAAAATAGATTTTAGTGTTGCTCTGATGTTGTTTTTTTTTTTTTTCTGTCAGCAGTAAGTTACAGGAAAATGGCTGAAGAATTTTTAGGTTCATCAACTGTGTCCATTAGTAATTTTCACATATGGAAACTGGATAGGCCTGTTGAAAAGACCTTTGTAAACAATAGTTTAGGGAAGAGCTGACAATGGTGGTATAAAATATGAGAGAGAGATTGCTAAATATTCTTTCCTTCAAACTTCTTAATTAGTTTAAGAGTTAAATTTCTTGTTTGAGGGGAATAAGAAGTAACACTTCACATTTACTTGAATGAATGGGTGGCAACAGAAGGTTTCAAACACTAGTTGGGAACATAGGTCTAGAAGGGTTGATCATGTTCCATGCCCTAATATCAAAATTGATGTCATACAGTCACTTTCATAAACTACCCAACCTCCATTTTAAACCTAGTAAGAACTTCATACCCATTACTGCTGTTGGAAGGCTGTTCCAGAGCTATTTAGTTTTAATGGTTGGAGATTTTCCTCTAAATTTCTAACCTAACATTTTATTATACTTCCAGTTTCTATTCATTGGTTCTTGATTCAATGGTTATCTGATTCAACTTCTATTTTAATGTTTTACTGTTCTCAAGAAACCAAAGACACTTAATGAGTAAGAACAAATCGTAAATTGAAGTACCACTTTCTGAGTTGGGTTCCAGTGGCACTGTCAATGTGATTCTGGAAGTCAGAGGATGGACATTACCACCATTCAGCCCTTGCCTGCTCCCTGCACACATCTTTGTCTGCTAGGGAATTCTGGGTTACCACTGGCAACTGAGGTTCATGGCAGAGAGAAAATGGAGGGCAGTGCGGGGAAGGTGAGCAACAGCAGAATTCACCTTCTGGGTTCCCGAGCTGTGACAAGCCATTGGCCTTCTGCCAGAGGTGGATTGTCTGGGCAGCCAGAAGCCTTGAATTGGACACCCTTGTATTAGGATATTGCATAAAAGGTGGACACTGCCTCCTCTGGCTCTGCTTTTTAATTTAAGTAGCTGTCTGCTGTGCTATCTGAATTCAGTGCTATCACATGTATAGGATCCAGGCCTCTCAGAGGACTTGCACACAGGAATACCCAAGTTTGTGAATCTTGACATGCTTAAATTGGAGATAATCACCAGGCTATCCAGTTCTGCCATGTTTGTGACCGTTCTGAGCATTCCTACAAGGATAACCCTAGGTCTCAGAGAACTTTGCTGGCAAAACTTATGACACCTGTAGAATTTCATTCGTGTAAGTGGCTCTTGTGTGCCCCTGACAAATTGTTTTGGGTAACATTGTGAAAGTGCCTAAGTCTGTTTGTCTTTATTTTTTTAAGTTACCTAGACAGTGAAGACCTTAGTTCCGTTGACTTTCAAAGAAAGGCTACAATAGGCCCAGATGTTTAAGGTATTTAGGCACTAAGAGGAATTTTCAAACGTGCCTATCATTCTAACTCCCAGTAATTTCAGTCATGAACACTAGAGTGGTTTTAAATAAGGTTCCTGAATTATTTATCAACTTTTCAGAATTTATCCTTTGCCTTGCTTCAGTTCTTTAAGTGAAAGATGAGGTGAATAGTACTGGATTTGCTCAAATCCAAGACAAGGTTTTTTTGGGGGGTTTTCTGATTTTAGCATTGGGGTGGTAGGGAGCTGTTGTTAGCAGGCAGCTGCTGTGGCTCTGACCCAGAGTCAGTGTCAGAGCTGCTACGTCTACCCGCCCCTTCCCCATCACTGCCAGTTACCTTCCATTTCCATCCCCACTCTAGCCTGGGGCATGGAGCACATGGTTGAGCCTGGTCATGCAGCAGAGCTGTGCACTCTGTGCACCATGTGTAGCAGCTCTGTGTTTACAGCAGTGAATCTCAACCTTTTTAGCCTCAAGCCACCCCTCCATAATCTTTGAGAATTGTGTTACCCCAGTAGAGTCACTGAGCTATACTCTACATGCCTTGATGTTAAAAAGGTTAAGAAGCACTGGTCTACCTGGTGCCAGGTAAGAACAGAGGGCAGGACCTTACTCTGCCTTGCTGTTTCCACTGTCTGCTCCTTTTCCATTCCTGATTTGTCCCTAAGGGGATAAGGGCATTCCCAACTGCTAAGGCTTCTCCTTCAGGGTCTTTCATATTGATAACTGGGGCAGCTGGCATAGGAGCTACCAGGGGGTGGAGGGAAGAGCAGGGGAGGGCAACTGCAACAGCAGTCTCCAGAGGAGACCCAGGTGCCTGTCTAGCTGGGAGCAGGCAAGGGACCCCTGGCTAGAGGAAGAAAGCTTTTACTTCGTAATATGGGCTGGATGGTACAACACTCTTAATGTATAAAAACAAACTTACGTTTTTTTTTAATAATTGTAGTTTTATTCGAGATTTCAAGAATATTAAACACTGGCTTGGATATGGAAACCTTGTCTATTTGTGTGCGGCTTTGTGAACAAGGGATAAACCCAGAGGCCTTATCCTCTGTTATCAAAGAATTACGTAAAGCTACAGAAGCGCTGAAGGTAAGCCATCTTTAAAAACAAACTCCATATGTTTTTCATTTAAAAAAAAAAAAAAGTTACAAGTAATTAGAAGTTCATGTAAAAAATTGTGTACATTCTCATAAAAATTAAAAATCCAAGGAAACAAATTTTGTTGGCTGTACTTAAACAGCTGTAACTAGTAAGGATTTTTGTCAGTAGGATAAGAATTACCGTTTACTGGGTCAGACCATAGATCTTTCTTGCCCAGTATCCTATGTCACACAGAGGCAGAGAGTAGATGCTGAAAGGGAGAGTGAAGTGGGTATGGCCAGGGTTTTCTCCACTGTTTTCTCTCACTTGCAACCTCCAGTATTTAGGATTTAGGTCAGGAACTTCTGATTCAGAGGCTGTATCCCCCAACTCCACTGCTAATAGCTACTGATGATAGCGAATAGCTAATAGCTATTCTTCCAAGAGTTTGTCCAATCCCTTTCTGAATCTCTAAACTGTCATCATCCACAATATCTGGTGGCAACAAGTTCTACACTTTAATTGCATGCAAAGTAAAAAAGTTTCCTTTTGTTGATTTTTAACTTACTACCTGCTAGTTTCATTTATGACCCCTAGTTCTTGCATTGTGAGAGAGAGTGAATAATAAATCCCTATTTACTTTCTCTTCACCATTTAGTATTGTAAGCCTCATTATGTCTTTCCCCCCAAGCGTCTCTCTTCAAAATGAATAGGCACAGCCCCTTTAGTCTCTCCTCATATGGAAGGCTTTCCTTAGCACTAATCATCCTTGTTGTCCTTGTCTGTATCTTCTCTAGTTCTTCTATTTCATCTTTGAGGTGTGGGAACCAGAACTGAGCACTATATACAAGGTGTGGATGCTCCATGGATTTATAAAGTGACATGTTGATACTTTCTGTTTTGTATACAGTTCCTGTCTTAATGTCAAACAATGTTAGGTATTATTTTGATGGCTGCTGAGCACTGAGCTGATGTTTTTAGTGAACTGTCCACAGTGACTCCCAGATCTCTTTTCTGTGTGGTAACAGCTAATGTTGAGCCCACTGTAATATAGATATGTCTGGGTTATTTTTGTCCATGTGCATCATTTTACATTTATCTACTTTGAATTTCATCTGCTATTTAGTTACCTATTCACTCAGTAGTGCCAGATCCTTCTGTAGTTCCTCACAAGCTGCTTTGGTCTTTACCACTTAGAATAATTTTGTGTCATGTGTAAATTTGGCGACCTCACTACTTCAGCTCTATATCTAGGTTAGTTACTCTTAATTGAGGAAGAACTTACTTTTTAAGTAATATTATACAAAGTTCATTTAAAAATCTAAGAAAAGGCTATAATTTTTATAATGTTCTTTTACACTGTCTATGATCCTTTTTCATATGAAACTATCCTAAAACCAAAGTATATTTTAGATCAGAACTGTTCAACCTCTAAGCAGCTCAGGACCACACTAGTGTGAGCCAACTCGTTGGTGGCATCCCCACCACCACCAGTGCACTGTGTGTGGGTGGCCCTCACCCCAGCTCCCTTGCTGCACCACACTGCAGCTCCCACAGCACCATAGGCTGCGCCACACCACCCCCCGGGACAGAAAAAGAAAACAAAAGCTGAGTGAGGCAAGGGGAACCTGGAGCCCATGGCCAAAGTTGTAGGACTAGCTGTGGCCGAATAGGCCCAGGGACTGCCAGTTGGACAACCCTCCTTTATATGGTCAGCAAAAACATTATTTTAAAGAGACTATACAGTGAATATTCTAAATAGTTTAACTATCCTATTTGAGCTTCAGAGCCATTTTGTAAGAGCAGAAAATATTATGTGATTGAATCCACTGTACATGTAGGTTATTTATTTGGAAGGACAATTTCAATACAAAACCCAAATATAATCTTGGCAAAATGTTTGCTTTGCACCTTCATGTGGTCAGAGATTTTCCTTTTGTTTTTTTTTTTAACTGCATCATGAATCCACTGTCCCAAATTTGTGTAAATGAAACTTTGGACTTTGGTATTAAACTGTAACAAAGCAGAAAAGCATACTTTCTATGTATTTCATCAAATGTGGAAGAGAGCAGGTGTGCATAATTGTACACAAACTGTTCTGTTCTTTCTTTATATATGACAAGAGGGTGTGATCTTGTCACTCTGAGCCATAAGTACTGTATGTACTCAAATCCAAGATGAAGGTGTTTTTTTGCCAATCACCAGTGGTGGGGAGGGGAAAGCAAGGAAAGATGGTAGCGCAGCCTCTGACTTGAGGCCAAGCTGGAGCTGCGTTGCAGCGAAGAGGAGGTATGCATGGGGGAGACTGCACAGCTTTCTCCTGTTCTCCTAGTTGTTTAGAATTCAGCTCTGGCTCCGACCCTTATGGGCCTGACCTGCCTAGACCTAGAGCTGCCACTGCTGCTTCTCCCTGGCCAGGCAAGGACCATTGCTGCTGCTGACAGCCCCACAGCCAGAGGTAAGGAATTGGGGATGTTATGTGCCCAAGGCACAAAAGGATTGCTAAAGCATAATCAACCCATAGTGAACACGGAATACACCTCGCATCATTCAATTGAACTAAAATCTAACTTTATTAACATACTAAGTGTATTAATAGTTTCTACATAGAGAAAAAAACACTTAGTTGAATTGTCTCACCTAATCCCAGGTGTTACTTGACTTCACAGAAAAGGTGGCCAATCAGTTCCTGAAAGTAGAGGTGGTCGTATATTAGGGCTGTGCAAAATTTCAGCAGCTATTTCATTTCGGAGGTGTTTTGGCTCACGAAAACACCCAATCCAAAATGAAACTGAAGGCTCCAAAACATCTTTGAAACTAAATGAAACCTTCTGAAACGTGTCAGAAATGTTTTGGAGGCGCCCCCTGGAAATTGTCCGGCACAGCCCCGCAGCCCTCCTTTTAAAGTGCCAGAAGGCTGGGGTGGGGGATGGGGCTGAGCAGGGCAGCCACGAGGGCTTCTCCTGTGGCTCCCCACACCAGGGCAGAGGCAGGCACAACCAGAGGAGCCTCGGGAGAACCTGCAGCTGTCTGGCTGTGCCTACCTCTCCCCGGCCAATCCAAATATCCGAAACAGCATCGAAATTCCAAAACAGATTCGTCCAAATTGAAGTGGAACAGTGATTCAAAACACCAAAACGAATCACTGTCCTCCGAAACGGCCAAAACCGAAACGAAATATAGCCTTTTCACACAGCTCTTTCATCTATAGGTAATGGCTGTTTTTTCAGTCCAGATGTTGAATGGCGAGACACACACAACTTCCATGTTCCCCCCTTTTATGCTTTTTCTTTAACTTTATTCCTCTGACTCTTCTTTTCCAGGTACTGTGGGTTGGTTTCCCTGTGATCATCATACTGTTCATGTTTTTATCTTGTCAGCATATTTCTTTGTTTCAACATCACATGCACACATCTTAATTTGGGCATTCCCCAGACTCCTGATTTTGTGTGTCCATCAACTCCAGAAACTCCAAGGGCTCTACAGTTGGGCACTGTCCAATTGGTCCCCCCTTATCACCTTTCATTTAACATATCCAGTCACATTGTCCCTCTGATTCAGTTGAGTGTCAGTTAATTTGAACTCATAAAAGGGCCTACATTTCACATGCGTGTGTTGGTGACACTGGAACATAAGCTGTCTGTGAAAGCGAGCTCAAGGATAGCTGATGTGTAGACGCAAGCAAAATGAAAAAAAAAATGTTCAAATAATAATGCAGCTATACAAAAACTTAAGCAGTGGTTAAATAAGGCTGAATATAAAAGAAAAGTTTGAATAAAACTATAATTCACCTCTTAAGCAGGTTCAAGTAAAGCTAAATGTGATAAGCTACCCTAACGGGGAGGGGTGCAAACAGTGTGGGGGCAGGTGGAAGGGGGTCAAGCATGGGGATTGCAAGGGGTGGAGGAAGGGAGGCAGTGGGGATAGTCCTGGATAGGCATGGGAATTGGTACAGACAAGGTTGCAGGGGGCAAAGGTCAGGCAATGGGGGCTTGAGTGGCAAGGGAGGGCAAACAGCAGGGGATCAGAGAGCAAATGGCACATGGGGCAAGCACAGCACAGGCAAGGGAAGCAAGGAGCAGGGGTCTGGCCCTTTGCCCCCCAACCGCTACTTTGGGTGGATGAATTTAAGACTACCCTCCAATAATTAGATTCTGTGCATGGAAGATTATAACACTTATAATTTTCCGTGTATAGACTGACTACTGAGGGTAGGTGGGGGTTTCACCTTAAATATATGGTAGCTTTGGATTCAGGTAAATATGGTATCATGTAACCTAATGTTACCTTTATGTTTAGCCTAACGTGCACAGGTAATAAGTTGAAAATACAGTTCATTGAGAGAGCTTCTCACCTGACCTCACTATGTTAAAATTTGTCAAGTGATTACTAAGTTAATAGGGAATATTGAAAATCAAAAACATTTTGAAAACAAAAGTAATTTATTAAAGAATCATTTGGCAGCATATTAAAATTATATATCAAAAGATTTATGAGCATCTTTAAGCTATCCAAGCACTCTTGACCAAGTAAAAGTAGTTGCAAAAAATGACTATATTTGGTACAGCTAATCTTTATCCCTTGGTACCTATTTTAGTGGTTTCATTATAATAAATAGTGCTTCTCTTTCTAGGCTGCTGAAAATATGACAAGTTGACTTCATGTGTGAATATCTGCTGATGAGAGAAATGTCAAGCTCTAGAGTTAGCAGAGGATTTGAAGACTGGCTGCTGTTCAGAAACACACTAATTTTTTTCTGTATCTGAAGGTTTTGGAACATTCCTGTAATCTTTTTTAAAAGGAAAAGAATGAGATACAAAAATGTAAACATCATGAGGAGTTTAGAAATGGCTATTGATGGGATTATCTCATGGTTCCTCATTACTTACCACTTTCCTTTTTTCTTTTTACTAGTAGTGTTTGGAAATAATACAACTTACACGTGTTCCTTATAAATTGGAGGCTTCATTTTATAAACAGTCAAGTAGTGTACGATCACTGAACGCAGCAGAAAATGTATAGAAACTTCATCTATGTTAATATATTATGTATGACTTGTTAACTTTTCTATTACAAATACTAATGTTGAATGACTTGTGCATTACAGTTTAGATGGTTTATTTTGCACTGGTCTGAAATTTTAAAATATTACTTCATGTGTGCTTTTTAATTAATAAACTGTAATTTAAACATATTCCCAAGTTTCCTGTTAACTATACAACAGTGAAAAATTATTTTCACTTCACTTTCAAAATGAAATTTAATGTACGTAAAGCCAATTATTTGGCATATCACTAATTCATTTTGTCAACTGCATAATTTCTTATTTAAAAATTGTGAATGAGCTGAATTCAGTCACAAAACAGCTATGGAATATATAGTTTTATACTGAGTATTGTATTGATTTCATTGCTGCTTTATTTAATTAGATTCATAATTCCAACCTTGGCAAACCTTTAAAATGTAAATAGTGTTACCTTCATCCTAGTTAGTCTAAGTATACCGGAGTTGCATTTGGAGAAGGCCAAATACCATCTTTAAACATGGTAAGAAGATTGTGCTATACATTTGGAACTATGTACTCCCTTCAAAGTAGAACATTTACTGTTATCACACTGGTTTTACCCTTTATCCCTCTCTTTTTTTTTTCTTTTCTTGTATCTTTGTGTCACCAGTTCTTCTGTCATCAATTCCTGCACCTTTCTCGTTTTATCTGTTAAACTGACCAACTGTGAAACAGTTAGTCCTTATGAAGAAGAATTTAGAGTATTCCCATTGAAATGAGTAGGATGCAGTAGATTATTCTATGGTTTATTGTTTCAAATTGTCTACAGAGTCAGGAAGAAAGCCTTCCAAAAGTACAGCAATGCAGTGTTATTTTTGCAATCTGGAGGCATGGCGGGGGGGAGGGGGAAACTTGATTTCTTGAAAATATGAAAGCTTATATGCTGTACAATCAAAATAAATCATTTAGGTCACATGCATTAAGCAGACTTTTTTTGTTTTTTCAACTGCTGCATAAAAACATGGAAAAAAGGAAAACATGTTTGTTTTAATAGTAATTTGCATAATTTAATGTTTGCTTCCAGTTGCCTGGGTTACATAAACCTTTTGTTTTTTATGTTTTAAATGTATGGAATAAACTATTTTAATATAAGACTTGGGAAATTTAACTTTGCTTATGTGTGTTCGTTATCCTGGAATATTAGTAGTATCAGAGTTAGTTGACATAACAACATCTTTATTTGAATGAGACCTTTGTAATTTAGTTCAGTTCTGACTTGAATATTTTCCCCTAAAAATAGAAATTGTAACTGAAAATATTATTTTCTTTTCTTAAAGAACTTTGGAGTTCCTAAGGTATGTATATTACAAAAGTATGCTTTCAAAATATTACTATAAGAAAATGTCCTTAGTATGTTATTAAACGCTAATGAAAAATGTCAAAATACTGAAAATACAGATAAGAATTCAGGGGGAAAAACACAGTAAATTAACAGTTGTCTGCCTTCCTAACTGTGTAATGTTAAATCAATTTACAGAAGTATGTAAAATAAAAAAAATAAATAATGAAGTTGAAGAACTTGCCTATAATGTTGACATGCCACTTCCTGCCATTTTTCCACTCAGTTTCATAGCCATAGAAGCTGGGGTGGCCAACTTCCCTGAGGACCACCTCATTTTTCTCTCATAGGAAAAAGTGATCAGAGATCATGGCCATCTTTTTCTATGAACAACACCATTTCCTCTTGCAAAAGCTGTAGTGAAACATCAGTCACTGAAGCGAGATTAGTCTGTGGCTCCTTTCTCTTTGGTTAAAAGTACAAAACGACTACTGGTATCTTTCTTTCAGAGCTGCCGAGATACTCAATGCATGGTGTTTTGTGAAAATAATATGAATTATACAGTCACACATTTTCCTTTCTCTCTCACTCACACCCCATGCACTCACCCATGTACAAAGTAGAAATAAGACACAGAGCAGTTTGCTGAGAGCAACAGGAGGAAGAGGAGCCAGGCACCAGATCACGCTCCTGGGAGATAAGTGATCCGGGGTTGTCTGTGTTTGGCTTGCTGAGTGTTGGTTTGGGCTGTGTATTTGAGCGTGTCCTCTGAGCAAAATTTGTTTTTTAATTATTTTTCTGGATTTGATTTTTACACATTTGCCTTTCATTCTTTTTGTATATAAACATTTAATGGAAAGACACTGATGTTTCTGTTTCAAACAGCCCTACCAAACTTCTTATAACAGGATGACGTCTAATGAGCTACTCAGGATGTAGGCATTGACATGTGTAAATTTAACAGGTGAACATAGTTCCTGCAAAAGTTAAATTTGAGAATGGTGCTACCCTATGGCTACACTGTGCAAGCTTTTCACCAAAAAAATAGAACCAGTTCTGATGGAACTGTTAATGTGTGTACAAGATGGGTGCTATCCAGTGGTGTGGCCAGTTATTATTCTGCTTCCTATCAGCCTGGGAATTAAATAACCTCACAGTCCCTCATATAATATCCACCTCATCTTTATATACCTCCAGGTTTACCTATAACATAACAGAAGTTTAATTACTTTGAAGCAATAAATAACAGATTTTAATCATTGTACCCTTGGCATTCTTTTCATAAACAAAACATTTATAAATGCAGTGTAAGAATAATCTTAATTGATAGGAACAATACACATTATTTTCTTCTACAAGTAAAAATACATCATTGTCTGAATGACTCTCATTTATGTGTTCAAAAACCCAATTTGAATGATGGATGGTGCTTAGTGACAATATATTTATACCTTTTCATTTCCAAAGCACTATGTAGATTCTAATAGCTATATCTACAGCCTAGCACAGGTACCAGGTATTCAGACTAGCAGTCTGGTGCCCGGACAACTTACCGGGCATCCTTGAAAGCAGGCGGCGGTGGCATGGCGCCAGAGCTCAGTGGCAGAGCTGTGCGGGGTCAAGGTGGGAGCGGGGGGTGGCACGGGCACACGTGGCTGCCTGGGCAGCGAGACAGACAGCTGCAGAGCAGAGGGCACCTTTCCCGCACATCCTGGGGAGGCTGCAGCTGGGAGGACGAGCCCAGACTGGGGCTCCTGCACATGGCAGCAACTCGCCCTGCCCCACTCTGCTCCGTACCCGGCTGAGCTGCTGGGGTGGGGGGGAGCATCTGGGCTGGGACAGAAGGCTGTTGCTGGCTCTTGTCACTTGATTCCCAGGATGAGCAGCCACTGCGGCATAAGGAAGCGGCGGTAGCAGCAGGCAGAAGTTTCCTTTCCCTGCCAGCTCTGCCATACCTGATTCCTTGCCTGCACCGTGCTTCCCCACCTCTCTCCTTCCCCAGCCACCTGCTAGGGATCTCCCTGCCACCTGATTTACCTGCTGGCACATGCCCCTGTGTCTTCCGGGCAGGCTTGAGAGGTGAGGGGGGGAGGGGGAGATTCACATCCCAAAACCCCCTACTCGTTCTCAGGAGGAATAAAAACAAATAGCCACAGCAGCACTGGAAGTTCTTTACATCATCAGCCCGGCTGGTACTGTCTGCTCGCTACTGTTCCCAAGAAGCAGGGCATGTGGGAGGGAGGCAGCTACACTTTTCCCCCCTGACCAGCTGGTAAAAATCTTTGTAAAAATACTGTCCAGTGTTTGGGTTGTGTTTGCTTCTGTTTCTTTGTGGGGGATTGAGGGTTCAACTTGTTACTACTTGTTAAAGATGTGTTACTAACAAGTTATTAATGCAATAAAAGTAAATCTTGAAGATTATTCTAAAAAATGCCCATATTTTGTAGCTTTGATTAGCTTCCACTCTGGCTGATATCTTTTCCACATTTGATCTGTCGACTTGCATTATGCTTCTTTCATTCATTGAGAGGTAAGTAGAAGCGAAAGTGTTTATTTTACTCAAGTGTTTGGTATTATTTCATTCTTGCTTTTATATTGTTTTTATTTTGGATTTTAAACCACATTTCCAGACCCATTTCATTGTCACTTCCTGCAACTTCATTGGTGTCAAAGGTCACCTGACATCACTTCCTGATGTGATACCGCTTCCTGTGAGGTCTTTGAATATGGCTCGCTGGCCCACTGGGTGATAAAAAGTTCATGATCCGGACCCACGTTCAAAAAGGTTGGACACCCCTGCACTAGGGTTTGGGAACCTTTTGCCCCCACAGGCTGGAGCTTGCAACATAGCTCCCTGTGACCAGCCACAGGCTAATCTCTAATCTCTCCTCACTGCCTTTCCTGTGCCCCCTTACCCTCCAAAATCAAGCTGTCTGGTTATCCTTACTGCATACACTTGGCCCTTCTACAGTTAGGTGAGAGCAGCAGGAAGGGCTGCAGAGGCGAGTGCTGAAGAGGGGACAGGTTGCACAGGGCAGCTTTGTGCTGCCCAATCCCCCATGCCACCCATAGCCAGGTTGGTCATTTTGAGCCAGATTTGGCCCATGGACTATAGGTTGCTGTATTATGCTGAAGTCGCTACACGTGCTTATAATATGGTACCCCTTCCAAAACACACTTTGTAGCATCCGTTTGCATTTTATTCCCCTGTTCAATGGAACCACCACAAATATTCATCCAGGGTTAAAGCTGGAGCTGTTTTATTTCGTTGATGTAGTTCCTGGCTTGCATATATGAAACTTAAAATGTAAGAGAGCTCCTGCATGTTCTAGGTGGACAGCTCTCTCTCCCTCTTTGAATTTACCAGGTGTACATCTTTCTATACCTTCAAACACAAGAGTTTGAATGGCTCTTGTTATATTTGCGATCCAAATCACCTTTCAGTATATTAAACCCTCACAAGTCTGTGCTCTTACACTCTCCACAGCTAGTTTGAACCAACTAGGGCTGAGCAGCCAGTTGAAGTTCTTTTAACATCCCAGAACTGAAATGTTATGTACATGCCTAACTTTATGCAGTGAATAGAGATCAACAGTAAGTCTACAGGATGGGATGCTCAGGCAGTACTTCCATGGATCCATTTAGCAAGAATTTTACTATAGGGGTAAAGGTAAACATAGCAATTGCAGTAGTATCAAATGATATTGATACAAGCTGCTAGAATGTGGGCATGTCTACACGTGCCACTAATTCACAGCAATAAACTCTGGCACATATCACACTGGAATTTATTGCTCCTGGACACACATTTTGAACATGCGCCCAGGACCACAGCAGGTTGATCTGGGTCAGAGCAGTCCTGGCTAAAAGGGACTTGGGGGACGGGGACCAGTCTGCCAGCCTGGAGCTGTTCTTACCTGGCTCAATGTACTGCAGAGGCGCTGGCTGGGACGTGAGGGTGCTCCAATGTGTGTATTACTATGCACAAAAAAACTTCACAGCAGGATAGTACTTGTATTTCCAAGTACTAACCTGCTGCAAAATTTATTATTTTCCTGTGGCCTAGTAGAGCTGCACAGGTAGATACAGCCTAAGTTTAAATAATGAACTTCTAAATGAAGTTTAAATAACGAACTTCTAAATGTACATAGGCACATATGTACTTATTACAATTTTATTTTAAACAATATATATAATATAATAATATAATATATATATTGTTTAATATATAAACAATTCATAATGAAATCTGGGTCCAAAGGTAACATTTTCATGTTTCACTTTTTTAAAAATTGGAAAAAAATGAAACTAAAAAAAGAAAAATCGGGAGCTATTCAAGCTCTCAGCCTTTTGTTTTTATTTTTATTGTTGACCTTTTATAAATGCAAGTGTGTGTCTTGGATATAAATCTTGGAAAGATAAGCAGCATCCCTAATTTGTTGATAAAGTGTGAGCTAAATGTAGTGATGCTACATTTTTTTCAGATACATCCACTGAGTATCTTCTTCAGTATCAAATATATCACAAGTGTCCAAAGTGTTTTAGCATTTAGTGCTAATAATTCAAATTAATAGGAAACCTTCATTTTGTTACAAGAGGAAATAATTCATGGCAAAATAAATGCCTATTCAGGTGCTGGGATAAAGGTATTGGCTACTGGGACATCTGAAAGATAGATACAGGCTTCTTTCTGGTCAGGAGGTTGTAAATCCAATCCCAACCATAAAGTAAGCTGTTGATGCATTAAGCCCCAAGTACCAGGCATTGCAGAAGATGGAGATTCTGTGTTTCTGAGAAACATTAAAATATCAGGTTCCTGGGAGAGAAACATAAGTGCTGGAGCTCCTAATGCCAGAAAGTTTTTTAGTTTTAGTTTGGTTCGGGTGAAGTGTTATTTATTTATTTCTGTTTTGCTTTGTTGTTCATAGGCAGACTGGAGGGAATTCAGAGAAGTGAAACAAAATTATCAGACATGCCTGGGAGTTAACTCACAATGAAAGATTAAAGAATTAATTTCATGGTCCCGTTTTGGCCCTGTCTGCAGCAACTGTAGTACAAGGGCAGTAAATTGACACACTCTGTTCTTGGCTTAAGAGCATTCTGTGGAAGGAGTGTAACAAGGCAATCAAGTTAAAAAAGCACATGAGCTGTCAAGTACAAGAGAAATCCAAGAAAGGGGAACCATACAGAATCATCATTTTAATGGTTTATATATAAACTCCAGGAGCCACAGGAAAGT